TGTTTTTAGTTTGTGAGTGTATTTCTTATAATACACAATAAATCATAATATAATATATAATAAATCGTGAAAAAATACAAGTTTAGACGACTTCCATGAGTTTTTACTTCATGTGATGTGATAACCACTTACTTATCAGAAACAAACGCAATAAATTACGGAATATGATTCTATGAAAAATCTAATAAATAAAATTAGCACTTAAATTGCTATCGGTATGACAGTTTTATATCATGAGAAAATACATCAATATGCCATCTTTCATCTTAGAACATAATGACGTAGGATCCAAAATCTGAATAGTTTTTCTATAATAAAATGGCTACCTCAATTTGGACGAAACTGCACATCGTTAACGTATTTAGAGCTATAGGATTTTACACAAGATTAGACTGTTTTATACTATCATGAGTCAAAATATTAGATATAAAAATGTATAGACTTTGCAATATCTGTGAGGTTGACCACCGTTACACACGGTGTTTCGTAATGACACGGCACTATTTTAAGTATGTGTTCATTAACACAAAATAAACAAAAAAGTTCATTTTAACATATATCTTAAACTCATTTGTTAAACAGATATCAAAAGTTAAAGATTTATTCTTTTTTTTCACGATATCTTCTAACAGTAGCATCGTTTCTATGTCCTCGCCATGAGTTAAAAGCATGTCTATTCTGCAAAAATAAATAAATTTGTTGTTTCTCCCATGGTAATCATAAATTGAACTGTGTCACAATATTCACTCACACTAAAACACACAGAACTAGAAAAATAGATGAGCAACTACAGTCATTGCTCATCGTTCATTTGTTTATCAGGTGATCAAAACCTGTTATTTAGTATTAAACAAGTTAAACTTTAAGATTCAGCCTTAATGTAGTAAATAAATAATAAATCTTTGACCTTTGATATCTGTTTAATAAATCAGTTTGAGATATACGTTAATATGGACTTTTTTGTTTACTTTGTGTTATTTAACACGTACCTAAAATAGTGCAATTACGAAACATCCAGTATATTAGAAAAGAGACTTTTCTAAATCGTGGTACCGCATTTCTTACACAGAACTCGTTCGACCAATGAAGGAGAATGTCTACAAGAAATAAAAGGAAATGTGGGACAATAGTTCACCAAAGCTTGCTGGAATGTATTTAGAGAGGAATAAAACACTGGAATCCAGACATTAAATGGTCCTCATCCGGCTGAAGATCGGACATTCCGAAATGACTCACCTCCACCTGATTATTAAAGAACCTGCAGCAACCTGTCTACTTTCAGATTCTCGATCTATGCATATTTAACAAATTAAGCCTTATTATGAAACTGCACAATCGTTTGTAACTCTAAAGGAACAATAATTGTAGGGATTGTAGATTTATCTGGTCCTAGATTAATCATTCAAGAATGAATTAACATGGACCATACAGTTTATGGATTGGTATCCAAGAGAGCACATGAGGAAAAGAGGACGTCCGCCGACAGACTGGGACAAGGAGATGAAGAAGACCTGCGGGGGAGCAGCCTGGAAGAGAGTAGCATTAGAGAGGAAAGAATGGAAAAGGATGGGACAGGTTCATTACCTAGTGTGGTTACAAGAAAGTCAAATAAAAAAAAAAAAGAAAGAAATCGAACTCAAAACCTCAACTAAGTTGATTTTGTACATATAAGAGATTTTGTATATATCTACTTTTTATCCATTTTTTTTTCATTGTATGCACAAATAAAGGTTATTATTATTATTATTGTAGATTTATGCAAAAAAAGAAATCGACTGGTATCCTAGAATAATAACATGAAAATCTGGGCAAAGCAAAGGCAAAATTAAATAATTTGAAATTGAGGCGTTTGGTTTCAAAATCGGTCACATCAATCTCCAAAAATACTTCATAACTGATCAAAAAATATTGTACAGAACCACTTTTAATTGAAAATCGCATCTCTTGGAATTGATTTTTGGAAAAAAAAGTCTGGATCTTCAAAAAATCTATACGAAAAGTGGTTCCGATTCCCTATCAAAAGTGGTTCGATATAACCTTTTTTTGATCAGTTTTGAAAATAAATATAACCGGTTTCGCAACAAAACGCCACAATATGATCCTTTTTTCTCCTCAGAACCTATTAGTAGAACGAACGACGAGATATGTGTCTAATATTTTTCGAAGTATTTAGTCTCATACAAAACATTTGATTGACCGTACATATGTCATTATTTCTTGGCTTTCCTTTTAAGAATAAAAATAAGAAAGTAAATTTTGTTCTAGGACGTTTGTCCATCTAAAAATAACAAACATGAACAATGACAATTACATTATAACATGGATTTTCCTGACACTTGATGGCTGAAAATAACAACTAGGTTACAGAGTTGTATAAAATAAAAATAAAAATAAAGTGTTATTCTAAATATATACATAACATGATGAATTTAGTTCTAACTTTCTTAATTTTTGCACTATTTCTTTTTTCTTTCGAACTTCAGTCCACTTCCTTACTTTATTTCTTCTAGTTTCTACTACAAGAACCTTCATCTTATTTACAATTCCCCTGAATTTATCCCTAGCTAGGTATTCATCTTCTTTTATTCCAAGTCTTGCTATTTCTTCCTTAATCTGTTCAGAGCATTCTTTGATGTTCTTCAGTCCCAACAATTTATCAAATATCTATTTGTTTATCTTATTTTTACTCATTATCTTCATGTAATCAAAGAATTTCAATCTCCTTTTCCTCATTGATATTTCTAGGTCTTCGACATCTTCATACAATTCTTGATTATTTTTAGGATAGTGCTCATATTCCATCTTTATTGGTTCATGTATACTGCTTCCTCTGTTTTCAGTAGCTTTTCGGTACTGTTAAATTTCATTGCCTCCTTTTCATAAAACACAACATGTTTAACTGTTTCATATACTAGCTTTTCTGAAAAGGTGTTTTTAACTAGATATTTAGGTCTGACCAACTCCTTTATTCTTCATCGACTGTAAATCCATTGTACTTCATAAATTCTCCTAGGCATTTATGAAGTGTTACAGTATTTAGTTATACTTCGTTATAACTTTCTGTGTTTGTTAGTTATTACAAACGGAATATTCTTGAATAGTGTTGTACAGAAGAGAACAGCGATGAAGACAGAGCGTTAAAGGGCGCAATAGAGCATAGAGCAAAGGTTAGCGACAATGAGAACGGCTAGATGAAGGCTGAGCGGTCTAGAAATGATCTCGGGATGTAAATGGACGGGGAGGTGTAGCTTTCTCTACAGCCACCTGGTCACAGCCTTCCCGATAACGGTTTACTTTCCATTATCTGCCTCCATGATAATTCCTCACCGATATAAAACTATATTAAGTACAAAAGGTTAGGCAGTAGAAACCTCATTTGAATAAAATAGTGGTAACGCCCATAACACCGGTTTAGATCTATGCTGTGAGGTAACTCATGACAGAAATGATATACATTAAAATGTAAAATGCCTTTGTACACAGATAGTCCGTGGTACAGACCTCCTTTTATCAAATTGTGAACATCCACCTGAAACTTCGTAAATAGCTTCATCTCATCCTAATCTACAACTATTTTATTTATGAAAATTCTCGGAATCGGGGCGTTTTCAATCTCGAGATCGGCAAAATTTGTTATATAATTAGGTAGTAACAACTCGTAAATACACATTTGATTTCCACTTGGATCTAGAGAGTCACTGGCAGATCCAGGATTTAATTTTGGGGGGGCTTCAGCCAATTTTTTTTTCCACAAAAATAACGATAATTACTTTGGAAAAAAAAGAAAGAAACTAACTACCTATATGAAATGGTGTTTATGTGATTCCTTAAGTCCTTTTAAATGTAATTACACGAACAATAATACTTTAAGAAGTATTTTTTAAAAAAAATTTCCCATAAAACATGGTTATGTTTTAACATTTTGGGGGGGGGAGGGGGAGCTTCAGCCCGAAAGTCTCTCCCCGTAGATCCGCCCGTGTAGAGAGTGGCCGATTGGGCTAACGCGTGTGCACAGCAACCAGATAACAGAAATGAGAGGTGTCAGAGGGGATTTTAAATTCATTGCCTAAACCCCCCGGCCGAAAAAATCCCGTAAAGCCTAAAAGGTGAGGTAGGGAAGAACAGGAAAAAAACAAAACAAAAAAACTTGGATCTAGAGATATAATTTGATCACCAAATTGAGAAAAAAGGTGACCTACAAAAACATTGGTTCGCATGGCCTATATAACCCCGCTATTTTGATATTTTGGGGGTGTAGGTCACGGCAAACGGGTCAACATTTTTGAAGGAAACCATTGATGTGTTCAAATTATCGTACAATTTAAGTGGGAACCTTTCAATCTGGAGGTTGACAAATTTTGCCTATTTAATTAGGTACTAAAAACTCACAAATACCCATTTGCTTTCCGCTTGAATCGTAAGATAATTCGATCACAAAATCGATTAAAAAAAAAAGTGGTCTTCAAAAATATTAGGCCTTTGGCCTATATAAGGTTGTTATTTTGACGATTTGGGAGTGTAGGTCACAATATTTTGTAATATTTTTTTTGAAGGCCACCTTTTTTCCCGACTTTGTGCTAAAGTTATCTTAAGATTCAATGGAAAGTAAATGGGTATTTACGAGTTTTTAATACATAATTAAATAGACAAATTTTGCCAACTTCCAGATTGAAAATGTCCCAATTCTACGAATTTTCGTAAATAAATTATTTGTAGGTTACGATGAGATGAAGCTATTTACGAAGTTTCTGGCGGATGTTAATAATTTGATAAAAAGGGGTCTGTACGTTTGATAAAAAGGGGTCTGTACGTTTGATAAAAAGGGTTTGTACGTTTGATAAAAAGGAGTCTGTTCAAATGGGAGTAGTATAATAAATATCAAATTTTATGGCTGTTTTTTAATTTAAAAAATCACTTAATAACCATTGATAAACTTTAATTTTATCATAGTTTTAACGCCACATCTATCGAATTCTAGAATTAATTAAATGAGTAGTTACCTGCTCCTGTCTGCGATAGCGTGAGGCTGGACGCGAGAAGAAACAACAGCGGTCTCATGGCCCATTCCTGAGGAAACAAAAGTAATATTATTTTAACAAAAGTATAATATTATATTATAACAACAATGATATTATTAATATCATGTATACATTTTAAAAAAAATCAAGCAATACATAAAATAGAGATATATAAAAACTTTATATATTTTAAATCATATTAGCTAATGGAACTGGACATGTATTATTTATTGTCACCTTAAATGCCCATTCATAAATTTCACAACATTCCTTTGGTTGAATATAAACGATAAAAAAAAAAAAAAAAAGATCCGCTATTTACAACAACATGACTTTGCTAGTTGTCATAAAATCAGGCCAGAATAATGAGGAAAATAGGAAAATAAACCACAAGTTACAATTGCCAACTCCAACGGAACCACAAGTTCGTCCGGAAATTACACAACTGTATGTACTCCTTCTGTAAGGTCAGCCTCTTAGTATTCGAGAGCTGGGATTCCTGTTATATCCGCCCGAACCAATCCGATCTGAATACTTGGGTACACGGGCGAATCTACGGGGAGGGGGGAGGGAGGCTTTGGGGCTGAAGCCCCCCAAAATGGTAAAATATAACCATGTTTTATGGAAAAAAATATTAAAAAATTACCTCTTAAAGTATTATCGTTCGTTTAATTACATTAACTTAAGGAATCACATAAACACCATTTCATATGGGTAGTTAGTTTCTTTCTTTTTTTCCAAAGTAATTATCGTTATTTTTATGAAAAAAAAAATCGTAAGGTAGTCTTATGAACCAAGTAGAAAGCAAATTGGTATTTACGAGTGTTTAGTACCTAATTAAATAGACAAAAGTTTGCCGACCTCCAGATGGAAAACGTCCAAATTCCGATAATTTTGATAAATAAAATATTTGTAGGTTACGATGAGACGAAGTTATTTACGAAGTTTCAGCCGGATCTTAATAATTTGCTAAAAAGGGGTATGTACCACGGACTATAGAGTTTTGTAGTATTCATTTTATTGATGAAATGATATCTTTCTGCAGCATATTTAATGCATGACATTATTATATGTTTCCGGTCGTCCTTAACTTCACATAATTCGCAATAATCTGTGTCTTTTCTTTTAATCATATGTAGGTAGGTACCTGATGTATTATAATTAATTCTTAATCTGCACATTGTTATTATCCAAGTTCTAGGAGCTTTGCTATTATCAAACCAGGCTTCCATTGTTGAGAGTGAGATTTATAAAGGATCCCTATTTTTCTTTTTCATAAATTTCCTGCCATTCGGCCTTCATCGAAATTTTTAATTCATATATGATATCAGACAAATATATGTGAAATTTGTCAACCTGTCTTTCTTTGCTGATTCCTTTGCAAAATGATCAACTGATGTAATGTCTTTAATACCTGTGTGGCCACTAATCCAAGCAAATACAACTGTTTTCCTTGTCTTGGAATACAAAGAATTTTTTCTAAAACCGAAATTATTAAATATCATGCTGTTCAGGGATCAACCTCTGAAACACAAAAAATAATAATTGTACAATTCAGAACTTCACCACCATTTTATGGCCTCCACTTTGTTGCAAACCATTCCTGTCACTAGCGGATCCCGGATTTAATTTTGGGGGAGGAGGCTTCAGTACGAAAGCTTTTTTTTCCATAAAAATAACGATAATTAGTTTGAAAAAACAAAAAGAAACTAACTACCTATATGAAATAGTGTTTAAAGTGATTCCTTAAGTCCTTTTAAATGTAATTTCATGAACAATAATACTTTAAGAGATATTTTGTTTTTCCATAAAACATGGTTATATTTTATCATTTTTGGGAGAAGGCTTCAGCCCGAAAGCCCCAACCCCCTCCCTGTAAATCCGCCTGTGATTCCTGTAGAGTTAATCTGTTCATTTGGTGAAGTGTGCACACAGTAAGATACTTTCTTAGAAAAGAAAATATGAGTTGCTAAACTTTAAGAGAACTGCCTAGTGGAGGAAGTATGGGGAGAAAGAAGAGGTGGTCAAAACTATGAAGCTCAATTCCAGAAAGCAAGTGAGTCCAAATTGACAACCAATTTCAACCAAGCAATAATACCTTCTAATATGGCTAAACTAAACTAAAAATTATAATTTCACAATCAGCAATATATAATTAATCTGTAAAGCATTACAAAATTGTACAAAGGCACAAATTTCATTTATTTTATTTTATTCAATTATATACAGTATAATCCTGTTCTCAATATTTTGTTTAATTAAATCAAGTATCAAATTTCAGTGATCCGACCTCATAGAGTCCACACCAATTTTCGCAATCACCAACGCAACATAATTCACTTACAGATTATTGGGTAATATTTGGATCACACCAAATTACGGTGATCGAACCCCTTTAGAATTTTAATTTCGATTTTCTAATCTATTGATACTGTGGGGAACTGCTAAACATTCGAATATCAAACACATCCAATCCTTCCAGTCCAAAGAACTCAGAACAATAGTCAATGCTCCATATTATGTCACAAACAAGACCCTACACCATGACCTTAACATCCCATTTGTCCTCGACATCATCCCATCCAGATTATCAAACATTCACCAGAACCTTATCCATCATGCAAATTCTCTAGCTCAATCCCTATTCAGCTCCCTTTATCCCTACAATCCTCCACGAAGGTTAAAACGGCAGTGGCCCAGAGATCTCTTGTAAATATGCTTCTGGAGTCCTGGCAATGACCATCTTCACTCATGTCCTGAGAGTCTGTGGCTCTAGTGCCCTCTTTCAGTCTCTACAGACTTATAATACTAGTGATGCGGCTGGAAAAGTGGCACTGGGATCTCCTGGAGTCTTGCTTTGCCTTCCACATGTGGGGGAAAAAGCCTGGCTCGGAGATTCCTGGGCGAATGTATATATTGTATATAGGTATGATTGTTTTTAGAAGTTTCTTTTATTTACTTTATTCATGAGTATTATTTATTTACTTTTTATATTTATATTTATTTCTCTATTGTGTGTATATATTGTATGAATGAGAACTCTTAGCCCTAATACTTATAGCCCTCCAGCAGTGGCTGACTGTATTATTATTCAATAAATAGTTTTTTTAAAAAAATAATCTATTGATGGTAGTTAAACTGTCAGTTAGAATTAAATTTTTATTTTTATTTGTATTACCTTTCACTACACATTACACCCTCTGGAAACATCGGTACATGTCAACATCCGAAAGAGTCTTGAGTTAAGTTCGGGGTGTGGTAGGTCTCTCCTCCGACTACTATACAAAGTTTAAATATTATTAGGAATCAATGTTTCTATCAATCTACCGAGATGTTTAAGTAGATATGAAAGTTCATTCTTGACTTAGTGTCTCTCGATTTTGTAGTCGTTTTTATTGAATTCATTTTTTTTTCATCTTTGTAACTCACCCGTGGAGTTAAACCTATTCTTCCAGACCCACCTTCTACATATACAGATATATCTAAGACGACAGACCCTCGGTTACCATTGTGGATAACTAACTATAACTGGAGTGTAGGAGGCGCTGAGGCGAGGCTTATGTTTTTTGCTTTCGGTCCGCCTACACCTGCACCCTCTCCCTCCCTCATCTAGCCTACTCAACGGATATCTGCCGAGCCCTGGAGAGTTCTCAATCCACATTTTTTATCTCCTTGGAATCCAAAAAATCCTCAGAAATACTAAATTATCCGTCTTATTTTTGTATATTAACATATATATCTATCTTAGGGATTGCCATTAATAGACAAGATTATAGAAATTTTCCTTCCGATATTCGATATTTTACCACCGATGGTAACTACTGGCGATATTATCCCATTGATATTTTAATATTTTAATTTAAAAATAAAATGAAAACTATCGTTTTCGGAAAAACCTTAGGAATTAAAAACATGAATCTGATTGTTAGAAAACAAAATCACATCTTGCCTGATTTATATAGACTGTAGAAGAGAAGGATGGTTGGGGTGCTCAGTCAGGAATATCAAGGCAAAATAAATAATAATATTTATTTTAAGATTTGCCGACGTTTCGACCTGTTCAGTTCAGGCCTTCATCAGGGCTAAGAAAAGAACCAGATAACAAGGTATGAGAAACATAAACAATGTAGGTAAAAAAATAAAGTAAAATGAAGTAGGTAGATTAATGACAATAACAAGAAATAAATAATAATAACCTTTACAAATTGTGGAATAATGAAGTAAGATAAAATTTTATATTTAAGATTTATATAAAATTTTATTCTAAGATTACCATTTTAGTACTTATGTCACCTTATTTTGATTTTGTTTACTTTATTATTCCACACTTTGTAAAGGTTATTATTATTTATTTCTTATTTCTTGCTATTATCATTATTCTACCCAGTTCATTTTTTTACCTACATTGTTTATGTTTCTCATAGCTTGTTATCTGGTTCTTTAGTGATCACCCCACCATCCTTCTCTTTTTTATTCACAACAGTTAACCATCAACCCACAATTATATAGAATCTAGTGCGTATCACAGAAAGATATCGATATTTCGATAATATCGGCCATCGCTAAGTAGAGTTGAAGAACACCCTTCTCACTCGTTAAACTCAATTTGCCCAAATTGGTTAATTAGAACGTTTTCAAACAAAGGCCATTGTCAAAGACATCTATGTACGATGCAAATAAATTAGCATTTTTCTGAATCCGATCTGCGGATGAATTGAAGGTATAATTTATTGAATGGCAATTTCTGGAGAAAGATGAGCATGACAAAAAGATCTGAAGATGAACAGAAACTAGAAAATTAATTTTACTTAGGAGCAATAGCGGATTCACAATTTGATTTTGGAGAGGCTTCAGCCAGAAAGCTTTTTTTTCTTCATACATACATATATATATATATATATATATATATATATATATATATATATATATATATATATATATATATATATATATAATGATAATTACTTTGGGGAAAAACAGAACGATACTTACTATCTATATGAAATGGGGTTTAAGTGATTTTTGAATTCCTTTTAAATGGAATTACAC